TTCACACTCCTCATCTTTCCAATGCCGGTCACTTCTCTGTATTCTTTCTTTGATTTCAAATATTAACTGATAGGACACAAGAGAAGTATATCTGCAAATTATTTTTAGACAGGTAAAAGAGGTAAATATTGGAACTTACGACTTAGAAGTTGCAATACTGGCATCGACCGTCGTGCGGGAGCATCGCGTGAGCCTCTATGTGTTCGTAAATGTGAAACGGAAAACCTTAAACTTTTTTGAATTCCTTTAATTTTATATAGAAAACTTTTCTGAGATTTGTTTGCTTCTTATAGATTAACTGAGAGGTTCTCGAATGAACAATAATTTTATATATGACATAATTTACAATATAACAGATTCTGAACATCTACAGCATCAGAAAGAAAAAAAATTCTAAATACTAAGAAAATATTTAAAAAACAGACATGAATCTCTTTCAAAAAATTTTTAAAGTGGAATTTACCAGCAAAAAGGAATTTCAGTCTTTAACTCAAACAAATCTTGACATTCAAAATCAATAAATTACTAACCCTACTGGTCGTGTATCAGCAGAAGAACCAGGGTTTAAAAGAACGCTTGTTCCTGGTGCATCTTCATCAGAATCCGATGTGCTATCATTGCCAATTCGTCCCTGTAAATTTTTGGCACTTAAAACTTCAAAAATAAAATGTACACAGTTTTGGTAAGTTTCAAGACTTCACGACAGATTAAAAACTTCTCTTTAGCTAATCATTACATTATCAGTATGAAAAAATGTGACGTCTTGTAACAGAACACAAATGGATACTTCACAAGACATGTAAGATGAAAACTAATGAAGTGACAGCTAAAGAACAAAACTTTTAGATACAAAATACACATTCAGCTCAACTGAAACAACAACAAATACACGCAAGAACAGTGACAACGTTCGACCAACAAAGACATCAATTTTTTGGGAATTACTTTACAGAAAGAAATTTTGTATAAAAGTGGATCTTTTCTGGATATGTATTGACGAAATTAAAATACTAAAATGTAGAATACTCACAGATTGATTCTGAATTTATTTTAAAATCTCGAAACAAACTACTCTAATGAAAGCACATTCATTGGCACCAGGACTGCATACGTTATTATGTTATGCCTATATACAGAATAAAAATATCACCGAACAATTTTGAACTAAAATCTATTGTGACTGATTACTCCCAACTTATCCTCCTTCTTTAATTAGGTACGGATCATTTCAGTACGTTCAAATTTTAATTTTAGTCTCCTGCAGATGATTTTCAGCAAAATGCAATAATGGTTTTTTGGCTCATTGAAGCTTATTTCCTAGATGCATTGTCCTATATTGTTGCCAATCTTAAATCCCGGTAAGATTCATATTTGTTAATCGATTAAATGAAAAAGAAAAAATACTAATGACATAGATGCACGAACATATACATGCATGCATAGTATTGGTAAAATCATATTTGGTATTCCACGTAACATTTAAGAATTTTAGCAGTACCCTAAGGTTGCTGATACTACCAATGCCAGCGATCAAATGCGAATTACGATGATTAGCTGAAGCTGAAGCTGACACTGCTGTTGCATCGGCCACTGAATCAGATCGCGGTCGACGCTAAATTAAAATTTTTGAATGCAAAATTAAAAGAACAAAAAAATTTAAAAAACGGATGTTCATTCGTTATATGTGAATAGAGACAAAAAATAGGACAGTCGCCAATTTCTATATGTAGTTTAATACATTTAATTTATAATTAATAAATTAAAAATGAAAAATAAACCGTTATACAACCAAATCTCAATTATGAATCACAGATGACAATTACACCTACTATGACAAAAAAATGCAGAAAGATTATTCGAAAACTATCCTATCCTGCTTCCGATACCTCTCGGTTTCATCCTATAACGATATTATAATCATCATTTATTTTTAGTCATGAAGTAGTATTTGTGATGATATCCCAATTTGCCAAAACATAAGAATAAATTAGGATAAGCCAGGACAGCTTCTGAATATTGAGTTAAGTGGAAAGTTTTAAAGCTATTATAAAATGTCTTGAAGAAGAAATCGAAAACTATGCCAACTTCCAGATATCATGCATTTAAAATTTGTGTTAAAGTTTTTCGAAAGTTAAAGAACTGAAATCTAAAAAGCATATTATGAGAAAAATGTCTGCGGACAGTAAAACAATTATCAAATTTAAATAGATTATGTTAGGCTTTAGATGAAAAGATATTACTGTCGTTGCTAACCAAATCAACAAGAGCTGAACATTGACGCTAGTGATGCCCTTATTTAATAACAACATTGCTGATTTCTGCACTCCACAAAAACGTACTTCATTTATCTACAAGAAAGCACGTGGAACGGGAGGCAAGTAACATTAATTATTCAGCAAATGACCAGGATTTAGGTTATGCTGGATATATTGAATAATCAAAAATATTTTCAGCATCGAACAGTAATTTTATGGGTATTATGACATTACTGAGCTCAAGCAGTAATAAAAGCGACATCAATTCAATATAAAATCCAAAAAAAAAAAAAATCTGTATGATATCAAGGATGCAACTATTAGCTTGAAAGATATTAGCTACATAATCATTGAAATGGATCTTTTATTTCCGAAGGTTAACATATCGGAAATGCAAAATCGGAAAACGGATCAACAACATTTGATTCGTTTTCAATGGAATCATTTCTGTGCTACTGTTACATCTATATCCTGGAGAATTTCATCAAGAATTTCAATTTCCGAATTATTATACACTTATTTTTGAATTAAAAAAAATTCAAAAATTCGCAATTAATACAGAAATTATCTACGTATAATTTATAAGAACTGACATGTAAATCGGTTTGAACTGATTGGCGTCCACCCATTCGATCCAATAATAATCAGTGCAAACACATATACAAACATACACTCTTCTTTCCAAGAAAACCCGAAGTAAACCAAGCACAATATATACAAACCCGACGCACCTACACACTGCTGCAATTTACCTGCAAATAAATTACAGTCTGAAATTTTAAAACGAAAAGATCCGATAATAAAGAAATAATCAGTATCAATAGCAATTTTAATATAAGATGTATCGAAATATAACAAAGAAAATTCAAGTTGAATGTAAAACTTAAAATTTTATGCTCTTCCAGAGAGAATTCAAATCTTCCTCCAAAATAGCACATATTAAGTGATATTAAATAAATTTTTGGTGATAAAGGGTCATGCAAAATTGGGAAGGAATTCTAAGAATTTTTTTTTTCTGTCCATAAAAGCATTGTTGATGAGGAAAATAAACTTTAAGTCAGGCAGGAGAGTTTGACATGATGGAACAATGGAAAGCATTTTCAAGTTAGATATAGAAGCTAAACATGATTAAATGTAATACCGAGCAATTTAATCGCTTTTTCTTTTTCAAACATAAACCAAAAGATTGAAACTATTCACTTCTCATTTCAATAAGTTCATGTGGTTAAACACCGTATAGAAAACTTTTGTAATAATGATTTAACCACGACACGAAATATATCTAACCAGTAACCGTCAAACAGCTAACAAATTCGATAAATCGGAAGCCAAATTAGCAGAATGATTAAATGAAAAGTTTGATAATTAATCAACATCAAACCTGTGCTAACCGGATCCATCAAATCTTTCCCTCAAATCAATCTGCTCATTCAACCTGCGATTTTCTGAATCTAAACTGCCTTTTCTCCTTTTTTTTTTCTTTTGATGCCGATTTAGCAAATATACCTCATAGCATTTCAGTATTCACGCAACACTACCATTATCTTCAGGCTCAAATTAATGCAATACAATCCATTTTTCATTTCTAACAGAACTCAATCGAAAAATGTTATCATTTGTATGTTGAAATAAATAGAAGCATATTTCTGCTTGAAATTAAAATTTAATCTAATAAATTAATGCGATAACGGATTTTTTTAGGTATAACAATTTCAGGAATAATGAAGAATTGCATTTTATTCCTATCATATATTATCATCTTTGCTCCTGCTCTATGTGCGTATGCGTATATGCGTATGCGTGTATGTGTGTGTATGTGTATGTGTGTGTGTGTGT